GACTACCAATGGGCGGTATAAAAATAAAATGTATTATTATTATTATTATTATTATAGCATCCTTACCTCATTTGTTAAAAACTTTAGCTTTAAAAGGCTTTCAAAATATAAAGGGGTTTGCCAGCTGATGGAAGGACAGCCATTCTGACCTACCCCAGAAAGGATAGGTCAGGGGCAACCACTGAGAAGATGCTATTTTATGTCCCTACCATCTTCAATTCAGACTCTCTCAAGCCCATTCATGGACTGTTGACCACAGGTTCAGAATGCTTTATAGTCATTATACTAAGTAGCCAGTGATCTATCTAGACTAGTAATGTTTCCACTGAATAGCACACATTTCATAGGGTTTTCTTAGGCAAGGAATACTCTGAAGTGACTTGGCCAGTTCCTTCCTTTGAAATATAGCTTACAGCACCTGATATTCATTGGGGGGTCTCCCATTCAAAAACTAAACAGTGATGAACTTGCTTAGCTTCTAAGATCAGATGGGAACCTGGTGCCTTTAGGATATCTCTCAGTAGTTTCATGAAGAGATTATTTTGGCCAACCATAGCTCAGGATGGTAGGAATTGAACCCAGGAGGACCTTCTGCATGCTGCAGTCTTGCATCAGAGCTGATGTTTTGTACCTTTACAAGCCTGTAGATACATTGCAGGATCACAATGAAACTCTGTTACTGAATTGCAAAGCTGCACATTTGGGAACCGATGGGAGTGCTCCAATCTGCATCAGGCATCTTTGATGTGCATTAAGAGCTCTTGCTGTGCTCTGGCACTTCTTAGGAGAGAAAAGGAGGCAATGAATTATTTGAGATTGGTCTCAAGGATATCTGACGCAATTGCACTGCCTCTTTTGTCAGTTGGATTCACATGTCTATCATATTTATCTTTATATTAGAGACTGATTAAGTAAAGGAGCATCTACCTTGTATTCTATATTTTTTTAAAAAATTAGAAAGCTGCTCACCTATTTTCCTTATACAAGTCTAGAGGTTTTTTCTACATCTTTTTGGATATGCATTGAATGGCGTAAATTACATAGCTAATGTTACAGATATTGAAATGAATCCTATTGGTTTCTATGATGATGATGATGATGATATTGTTGTTATTGTTGTGTGCCTTCAAGCCTTTTCCAACTTAAGACAACCCTAAGGCGAACCTATCATGGAGTTTTCTTGGAAAGATTTGGCTATCATACCCATTATAGTATGTCTCAAAACAATTATATAGTAATACTCAAATGGGTATGAAAAAAACAACAGGACATCAAGGGACGTTGGGTCTACTGTACCCATGCAACTAAAGTGACAATATTTATAAATGATGTCATTTTTTTAATATAAAAAAGTAGAAATTTATTCATTTTATAAAAGTGTAGGGGCACCTTTATTTAATCTTTGTGTGTGTCCCAACAGATTTAAATGAAGATTTGAATTTACAGTCTCAAATATAAAGATAAATATGACAGATATGTGAGTCAAACTGATTAAACATTCAGGGCAATTGCTTCAAATATCCTTCTGGAACTTTTTAGTATATGCATCTTTCTCCATTGCCCACCAGGCTATGATGCCTAGCGGTGTATCTCCACTATGGAAATCATGGAGTTTGACACCATTTTATGTGCATTAGTGCCATCCTATGGAATCTTGGGATTTATAGTTTTACAAGGTCTTTATCCTTTTCTGCCAAAGAGTGCTGGTGCCTCACAAAACTGAAAATCCCAGGATTTGGTAGGATGGAGCCATGGCAATTAAAGTGGTGTCCAACTGCCATATTTCTACAGTGGAGATGCCCTCTAAGTCACTCTACCATTCTACAATGGATACCTCCATGCTGTGACCTCACAACAACCCGAAATACATGCAGGTATTGCAAAATGACTCTGTTCAAATCTGTGCATATGTAAGGTCATTTACAAATATGTAAAACCTAAGCAGAATTCCAGCCATTTTGTTTTTGTGTCCTTCAAGTCATTTCCAACTTATGGCAACCCTAAGGCAAACCTATCATGGGATTTTCTTGGCAAGATTTGCCTTTGCCATCTTCTGAGGCTAAAAGTGTACGACTTGCCCAAGGTCACCCAGTGGTTTTCCATGGGATTCGAACCCTGGTCTCCAGAGTCATAGTCCAATGCCCAAACCACTACATCACCATAATAAATTGTTTTTTCCTAGTATGTCTACATGAAGGTATACCTATTTCACATATAAGGCAGTGGGGGGGGGGAGGTTAAAATAAGATGAATTTTTCTACAGTATCTTTTAATTGCTCTATTTATATAATTCCATTAAGCATGAAATGATATTTATAACCCTATTAGATGTGTTGATGATGGAAGTTTAGATCATAAATCCTGACAGAATTTTCAAAAAGGACTAATTATATACCGCAAATGATTAGAGATAATATTAACAGTTTTTATGTTAGAATGAAACAGATGGTATCACGCCAAAGTTAAGTAACAACTAGGGGAGCGGGATACTAATCTTTTCCCCCCTTTTCTTTTAATGTATAGAATTAATATCAAAATCACTCTGGCTTTGTGGATTAACAATGCAGAACTGAGGATTATCACATAGTGAAATGTCAAAAGGGGGTTGCAGACTGTCAAAAATAGTGTGAATTCAGTCCACTTTTAGGGTTAGGGTTAGTGCTAGGGAATCATGGGAATTGTTATTTTTCTGAGACATTGAACCTTCATTGTCAGAGAACTCTAGTGCCACAATAAAATTCAGTTCCCATGATTCCCTAACCTTAACCCTAACCCTAAAAGTGGACTGAATTCACACTATTTTTGACAGTCTGCAACCCCCCAAAGTTTCCAAAGAAAAGAAAATTCAGAAGGTTTGGAGAGAGCTGTAGAATTTTTGGCCAACTGGATCCTATCAACAGGTGCCACTCTAGATAAGGCCCTGCTCCAGACCTTGGCAAATATTGCCTTCACTGGTGGACCATGGTCTATGCAGTCCTCCTGCTTGAATCTCAGACCACTGATGCTTGCCTCCAAACTAGAAAGGTTGAGCTGATAGATTCCCACTGGAAAGAAGAGAGAATTCTGTCTTGTATAGACCTCTGTAAAGTCCGAGATTGTACATTCTGGAAGTGTGCGCCATTGTGCAAAATATGAAGATTAAACAATTTAGAGGGATTTTCCCCCCTCTCCCAACTATTAGTTCCCTGAACCTCTTCTTGTATAATCCCTGTATTTGGTGGAAAACATCCAGTAGCCATGGAAATAATATAATACTATAGCATTAGAGTAATGTAATACTATACTATTATGGTACTATGTAATACTATAGCATATTTATTTCCCTTAAGCTTTGCTGTTCCACCAAGGATAACAGCTCCAAAATGGTTTTGTTATAGGCACTTCATTTTCTTGAGTGGTTAGAATCATACAGTTGGAAGAGACCACAAGGGCCATCCAGTCCAACCCCCATCATGCAGGAACTCTCAATCAAAGCATATCTGACAGATGGCCATCCAGCCTCTGTTTAAAGATCTCCAAAGAAGGAGACTCCATCACTATCTGGGGAAGTATGTTCCTGTGTCAAACAGCCCTTACTGTCAGGAAGTGCTTCCTAATATTGAGGTGGAACTTCTAGGGTCAACATATATCAATTATTTATTTAAAATATTTATGTCTCACTATTCTTCTGGGGTTGGAAGTAGACTTATATGAGAGAATATGCATTTTAGGTAGTGTGGACTCACAACACACTAAACTCTACCTACCCCACAACATTGAAATGTAACCAGGGAGCAGCCACTAAGAAGGCCCTAACCCATGTCTGCACCAGATGTACCTCTTAAGGTGGTGATGGTGGTGGAACCATGAGCAAATTCTGAAGATCTCATGACCTCAGCAGACTCATATGAGAGAATATATGTTTTAGGTAGTGTGGACTCACTGCACACTAAACAGTACCTATCCCACAACATTGAGATGTGCCCAAAACAGGTCAGTAGCCGGTGGTACTGATATAAGAAGGAAGTTGCATATGTTACTGTTATATCATTATATTTGCCCTGTAATCAAGGCGTGTTTGCAGTCTGGCCACAGAATTTTGGACCAGCTGCAGTTTATGAACATTCCTTACAGGCAGCTTCTGTAGAGTGGGTTGTCATAATCCAGATGGGATGCAACTAAACTATATGCCTCTGTGACCAGATCAGACATCTCCTTGGACAGACACAGCTAACACACTTGCTTTATTTGCACACTTACACTGCCAAAACATGGGAAGACATATTACTATTCAGGGATAAATCAAGCCTCTGAACCTGCTTCTTCAGGGGATTGTAAACCCCTTCAGCATGAGTTGAATCACTCTTCCATGATCTGCCTTTTGGCTAACCAAGAGACCTTTATCACATCTGGATTAAGCTTCAGTTTCTCATCTAGTCCCTTACTGATATCATTTTCTAGTTAAATAATAGCTTCTTGGATTCACATTGAACACAAAGGCAGAATTTGGTAGTGCCAGCATGCTGGCAGCACAAAATCCCAGGTATCTAGATAAGCTCTTGTAACAATTTCATATAAATATTAAATAACACAGGGATGCACAGCAATAGCAATAGCATTTACATTTCTATACCACTTAATAGTGAACTCAGCATTCTCTAAGTGGTTTACAATCTGTAATGGTCATGATGTGTGTGTGTGTGGGGGGGAATTCCATCATCACCAACTTCTGTCCCTCCAAAAAGAACTGAAGCCACAGCAAAAAAAAAATCCTTCCAAGTCATTGCCTCAAATCAATTTATGGACAATAATACCACCCTCAAAGATTTATCAGTGGCTACTATCCACTGTTGGTGTGTGTCTTCAAGTCACCACTTTGTTGTTGTGTGTCTTCAAGTCATTTCCAACCCTAAGGTCAATGGACCACAGGGTTTTCTTGGCAAATTTCTTCAGGTGTGTGCCATTCCCATTCTCTGAGGCTGAGAGAATGTGACATGCCCAAGGTTACCCAATGGGTTTCATGGCTAAGTGGGGATTTGAACCCTGTTCTCTAGAATCATAGTCCAACACTTAAACCACTACACCACACTGGCTTTCAATGGCAACGGTATCCTAGGGATTTGATTGCCTTCCTCTAAGGTGGAGACAGTGTGATTTGTCCAAGGTCACCCAGTGGGTTTTTATGGATGAGAAGGCATTTGAATCCTGGTCTTTCAGAGAGCACTCAAATTACCACATCATTCTATCTCCACTACTTGTAGTAGCTCTCAGTCTGAATTATCGTCAGCATTAAAGACATTGTACACCTTGGTAGTAGATGACAAAGACTATAAATTTGAAAGGTACACTGTACTCAAGTCCTACTTGTGGGCTTCTTTCTGGACACTATTGAAAAAGAATAGTGGACTGATCTACACTAACAGGATCCCTGGTGGCACAGTGGTTAAATGCCTGTATTGCAGTCACAACATTGTGATTTCGATCCCAGGACTCCAAAGTTGACTCAGACGTCCATCCTTTCGTAGTAAAATGAGTACCCAGCTTGTTGGGGGGCCATTGGCTTACAGATTGTAAGCCGCTTAGAGAGTGCTGAGTTCACTATGAAGTGATATAGAAATGTAAATGCTATTGCTGATGCTAACAGAAAATTGTATTTGGATCTAATCCAGGAGGTTCCTACTTATTTCCCGTGGACACTATTTTCCTTTTGGATTTTTTCCTGGTTCCCTCCTATGTGACTCTTCCAGAGCCTTTGAAGCCAAGGGCCTGCTGATTGGTAGATTCTGGGAGTTGTAATCTTTACAAAGTAACTTTTTGTTGTTTTACTGTATAGGCATAGAGAAGTTATTGCTTATATACAACCAGAATCTCTTTACTCCCGAAGAGAGCCGAGAACTAGAAGCATCACTTTGGAGCTTGCAAGCCCATCCAGGAAACATAACGAAGTAACTCGTGACTTGGGTTTTATGGCCTGAAACTAAATCTTTGAACTTTTGATCATTTTTTTAAAAATAATAAAAAGAAAAGGACCTTCAGTTCTCCTCTACAATGAACTGCTTTATCATTTTCCAAGCCTGCCACATGTATTTCGAGAACCATTAGGGAACTCCAGCAGTTAAAAACAAAGCCTTACAACTTCTTTTAACATTCTGTTTTAAGCTCTTCTGTTCAAAAAGGAAGCGCCTTCCTGGCATTTATCTTGTTATCATCTCCCTACCTCCCTCCTCCTTTCTGAGTGTCCTAATGTGAAATAAGTTGCTTTTCATCTCCCCCCCCCCTTTCCGGTTCCACGAAGGATGCCATCTATTCTTCTTCTCCTTGGCTTTTCATTTCACACATGCCGGCCCCCACTCCTCCTCTGGCTGCCGCCGTCTTTGTACTCAGTTCCATCTCCAAAGTGGAGCTGACCATACTGTTTCACTTGCTGAAAGAGCAGATTGTGAAATTAGGCCAGTGCAATGACTTTGCCCCTGGCTTTCATGGCGACCGCACCATTGAAGACTCCATTCACCTCTAATTACAGGCCTACAGAAATCATGCCGGGAATGGCGCTCCATAAATCATTAGCTTTTCTCGCTGGCTAGGCGGCCGAGGACCTAACAAAAGGATTATGTTTTTCAACAGCAAGATGTTCTCTACGCTGCCAGAGTAAGACATTGTGCGGCTGCCTATTTCCCTGGAATATTTGTCATGTAAAGCTGTCCCCAGGTTGTATGTAACCATAGATTTCCTTCCTAAATGGCGCAGAAGGCAA